AAACATATTACTTAACTCTAATCATATTACTTAACTTAAAAAATATTAATTAACTTAAAACATATTACTTAACTTAAAACATATCACTTAACTTAAAAAATATTAATTAACTTAAAACATATTACTTAACTTAAAACATATTACTTAACTTAAAACATTTTACTTAACTTAAAACATATTACTTAACTTAAAACATATTACTTAACTTAAAACACATTACTTAGCTTAAAATTTATTACTTATTTTTACACTACTATTACTTACTTTGCTAAGGGATTTTTGCATTGTTGCAAATTTGCGTATTGAAATACTCGGTGAAATTGGCCATTTTAGCGATTGTTAGTGCATTTCTCATTATGAAAAAAATGCACTATTGTACTCGCCATTTCCGTCTGTCCGTCCGTCCGTCTGTCCGTCTGTCTGTCCGTCTGTCTGTCCGTCCGTGACTTCACGTTTTCTTCGACGAGAAAATGCGCTCTCTGTCACTCACCGCAGTGAGTACTGACTTATATTTGTTACATAGTATTTGCTAATTATAATAATCCTGTCCTATTACCCTGCTTCCCTCTCTCCCCCTCTCTTTACCCTCTCTTCGAAACTTAGATTACGTTTTTTTCTCTCTCTTTGTCTCCCTTCCTTCCCCTCCCCAAATTACCTATAGTACTCCCCCTTAATCTCTCTTATTAACCCTACCCCCCACCCCCAACAGTTGGAGGTCTCCTAGCCCCCCGCGTGTCGTCCCCCCTGAGAATCACGGGCCTCTCCGTGCCCGCGACAGTTGTCACGGGGGACCGGGTGCGGTTCACCTGTAACTTCAAGCTCGAGGGAGTCACCCTCAGAGCCCTCACGTGGCTGCTTGATGACGTGCCCTTCTACAGGTGAAATTCATCAAGAAATTCATAAAATTCTTAAATTTATCATATTTATCATTTATCATTTATCAAATTTATCAAATATATCATCAAACTATTTAATTCATCGAAATATTATTCATCAAAATATAATTCATCAAAATATTATTCATCAAAATCCCATTCATCAAATTTTTATATTAATAAAAAATCGTAAATTATTCAAATTATTAAATTAATCGATATTTTATTCACAAAACTCTTAAATTCATGAAATTCCTAAACTTATTAATTTTTAAATTCATCAAATTCATAAATTCTTCGAATTCATAAATTCATCAATTTTTCAGATTGATAAAATTCTTAAATTCGTCAATTCTTAAATTCATCAATTGTTAAATTCGTCAATTCTTAAATTCATCTATTTTTAAATTCATCAAATTCTTAAATATTCATCAAATTCTTAAATATTCATCAAATTCTTAAATTCATCAAATTGTTAGATTCATTAAGTCCTTAAATTCGTCAAATTCTTAATTCACTTAAATTCCTAAATTCATCAAACTCCTATATTCATCAAATTCTTAAATTAACAAAATCCTTAAATTTATCAAATTCTCAGAAGCATAAATTCTTTAATTCATCAAATTGTTGAATTCATCAACTTCCTATATTCTACAAATTCCTAAATTTATCAAATTCCTAAATTTTTCGATTTCCTAAACTCATCAAATTCTTAAATTTTTCAAATTCCTAAATTCGTCAAATTCATAAATTCATCTAATTCCTAAATTAATCTAATACTTAAATTCATCTAATTCCTAAATTCATCGAATTCTTAAATTCTTCAAATTCAACAAATTTTTGAATTCATCGTTAGATTTCATTTCAAGCATCACGGCAAAGCGATCACTCTTTACAAATCGGCTAAATTTCAACACTCAAATTTCCATAGAGTTTCATTAGTGGTTATCGCATGTAAATTTGTGAATTTGTTACGAGCATTTAAATACAAAATAATACCAAATGTAATTTTAAAAAAATCACTGATTAAATGATAATAAATTAGAGCTTGAAGCTAACTTATCAATGTATTTTGTTCATAAGATGAACTACATATGATAATCCAGTACAGTGACATTACTGAAACGTTATTTTTGAAGAGTAAAATGTTCCATTCATCATCATTGGTGCATCTTTAAGTGCATTATTTCTCTACTAAAATAGCTTTAATTTTTCATCTTTAACACACTTTTTAGTGTGTTATTCCTTTGATGCGAGATTTTATTTCTCGTTTTTATCCCGATTAGTGACTAAAACATAGGTTGATTCTAATGTACCCAGGCCCTTATACTGTCATTAGTTAATCACTTATTTTTATCTACATTTTTTTTATCTTTTAGATTTTTTTTTTTATTTTATTTACTTTGATGCTCTACGCGTCATCTGGACGAAATCTTCACTCGGAGAATTAAGTGAGATTTTGTCCCAAAAAACGCCTCATTTTTCGCGTGTGTCACCCTGACGCAGTTTGACTCAGCAAAAGATCATGTGCTACGTCCGCTGCTCGCGTTGTGGGTAAGAACGTGTAACTATTTTGACAATGCTGCCCATTAATTTTGAGTGTTGCAATATTCGTGCTTATCTTGATACATATTTTCGGGCGTCGTAGAAGCATAAATTAGTCAAATCAAATGTCATTCATGTGCACGTCCATTATACACCACCATACATTTGTATTGTATAATCGTGTATGAAAGGCCATTTATACGTATAATACAGCCTTACACACCTCTATACTCTGTATATTACTACACAATATGCACAGAACACACGCCCTGTATACTCTGTGTATTAATAGACAAAACACACATAACTCGACTAGTATACTCTAGTATATAACTAGTAACTGTCACAATAAACACACAACACAGCCCCTGTATAGCACACACAACACAGCCCCTATATACTCTGTATATTACTACACAAAATACGCATAACACACTCCCTGTATAACACACACAACACAGCCCCTGTATACTCTGTTTATTACTACACAAAACACGCATAACACACTCCCTGTATAACACACACAACACCCCCCTGTATACCCTGTGTACAGGAACAGGGTGGGGGAGGAGGCAGACAATGACACGCTGGTGGGGGCGGTGGGGGGCGCTGGCCCCGCGCGTCTCCAGGAGCCGCCGCTACACAAGCTTGTGTACCCCGTGCCTGGGGTCACCGTCGACGTCAGTGCTCTTGTTCATTTATTATTTTAATTATCGGTTTTACTATTTAACTTGAGTAATTTTCTAAATTTGATAATGTTAACAATTATGGACGTGAGTGGTCTTATTGATTTATTATTTTTATTATCGGTTTTACTATTTAACTTGAGTAATTTTCTAAATTTGATAATGTTATCAATTATGGACGTGAGTGGTATTAATAATTTATTATTAGCGCATTTTCTCATTAACGGAAAAAATGCCCTATTGTGCTCGTCATGTCCGTCCGTCTGTCTGTGTGTCCGTCCGTCTGTCCGTCTGTCTGTCCGTCGGTGACTTCACGTTTTCGTCGACGAGAAAATGCGCTCTCTGTCACTCACTGCAGTGAGTACGGAGTTATATTATTTTTATTGTTGGTTTAACTATTTAACTTGAGCTATTTTCTAAATTTGATAATGTTATCAATTATGGACGCGAGTGGTCTTATTAAAATAATATTTTTATTATTGGTTTAACTATTCAACTTGAGTGATGTTCGGAATTTGATAACGTTATTAATAATGGACGTGAGCGGTCTTATTAATTTATTAGTTTTTTATTTAACGATTTAACTTGAGTAATTTTTTTAATTTAATAATTTAATGAATTATTATCATTATGTTTTAGATGCATATCAATTACCTATTTAAATTATTATTTTAACTTATTAATTTGTAATTTAATCATTGGCTAAACTATTTACCACGAGTAATTCTCGAAATTTTATAGTGTATTCAATTATTATTATCAATAATTTTGTATAAGTATTTAAATTACCTATTTAAATTATTATTTTAACTTGTTAATTTTTAATTTTATCATTGATTTAAGATAATTTTACTAATTTAATAGTTTATTCATTTATTATCACTAATTTTTTGTAAGTATTTCAATCACCTATTTAAATTATTATTTTAAGCTATTAATTTGTAATTTTGTCATTGTCATTAATTTAACTAATTTTCTTTATTCAATAATTTAATCAATTAATATCGTTATTTTTTAATATTTTACTTACCTATTCAAATTATAATTTTAATTAATTAGACCTCACAGATATGATATGATAGAAACTTAAATGTTTCAATTGTGTAAATTTGTTTGGATCAACAAATAAGATAGGGTAATTATCCTTGAATTTTATTTATAGCTAAAATTTATACTTTGCTCAGAAGCATACAGTTAATCGTCCAACCTTCCACCAGACGCTCTGAAAGTGACAATTTCCCTCGATGACAAATATTTTTAATTAAATTTTTACCCTTAATCATTTCTTATTTACTTATCTGCACCTTAAGCACATTCAACTCGAGAAATATGCATTTAAAAATTACTTTTTAAAGACAACACTTCTAAAGAGACTATTGTCTTCGATGTTACACATATACAATGAATTTCATATGTTATTGGTAAATATTTATTAGAATTATTTTTTTTATATAAAAATTCTACATTTTTAAAATTAATTATTTATTCTGGCAACTGATTCAACCATTGTCTCCGACCTTACGCAATTGTGCAAAATTTCAGATCGATTGGACAGATAGAAGTGTGTTAAATATCGATCATAAAATATGTAACAAACAAACAACAAGAAGTGAAGTTAAAGAGAAGCCTTGTAATAATAATTGAAGTTAAAGAGAAGTTTTTTAAAAAGGCTCGCACAATTAAAATATTAATCATTTACATTTTTCTCACGTCGGAACAACCGGAGAGATTTCAATATATGCAGTATTCACATTAATGTAAATTGAAAAAATATTTGTAAACTATTACCGTAATTAATAGAAAAGCCGTGAGCAGAAGCAAGGGTCGACGCTGAGCGAAGTGTGGCTGAGTCGCGTGGACCACCGCGCGTCAGGCGCTGTCACGTGTCGCGTCGTGGGCATGGACAGCAGGTTCTCTGATGTGCAAACTGTCAACCTTACAGTCATAGGTACAGTAACTGTCAACCTTACAGTCATAGGTACAGTAACTGTCAAGCTTACAGTCATAGGTACAGTAACTGTCAACCTTACTGTAACAGTCAACCTTACAGTTATAGGTAAAGTAACTGTCAACCCTGCAGTAACTGTCAATCTTACAGTCATAGGTACAGTAACTGTCAACCCTGCAGTAACTGTCAATCTTATAGTCATAGGTACAGTAACCGTCAACCTCACGGTACAGTAACTGTTAACCTTACAATCATAGCTACAGTAACTGTCAATCTCACAGTAATAGGTATAGTAACTGTCAATCTCACTGTACAGTAACTGTCAACCTCACTGTACAGTAACTGTCAACCTTACAGTCATAGGTACAGTAACTGTCAACCTCACTGTAATAGGTACAGTAACTGTCAACCTCACCCTCACTGTAACTGTCAACCTTACAGTAATAGGTACAGTAATTGTCAACCTTACGGTAATAGGTGCTGTAACTGTCAACCTTACAGTAATAGGTACAGTAACTGTCAACTTCACCGTAAAAGCTAAACAATCTATTCACGGTAATTGAAAAGACGATAGAGAAATTGCAAACAATCGTCCAATAGCTAAAATAATTAATAATAATAAATAAGTAAGTAACGCAATATTTCCTTTTTAATAAGAAGTTATGCATTTTTAAACGCGAAATTTGTTAAATTTTCACAACGTTTTAGAGTCACCCCTGATGTGACCTGGCGTTGGAATCCGTGTAGTATTTTTTTTATTCTGATTTGTAATGCCACTTCTGAGAAAGGCTTCGAACTTAGCGTGATAAATGTTCAAAAGTTTATAGTCATAATTGGCCTAAAGGGCGGGGTGGCCCAGTGGTTACAGTTCAGAGTACCAGGATTGGCGCAGAGAGGCGCGGGTTGGATCCCAGCTCTGTGCGCCAGTTTCTGGTCAGAATCGGCGAGGAGGCCGGGCGGTTAAGCACAGCAGAATTGAGGCAGTGAGTTGCGAGTTCGAGACCGCAAAATGCTGTGAATGTTCTGCAATGTTCAGAGTCGGCGACAGGCCTACGGCCTGAGTGAGTTTTCCGGTGCTATATTATATATTATTATATTATAAAGAGAACGCGCGATTTAAAACTTCTACCGCTATTTTACTAGAATTTAGGTTGCTTCAGTTATTATTTTTGATTCAGTTTTATCCATTTATATTCAAAATTGAGTTTATCCATCCTTCTTTTTGATAGCATGACTTACACGATACAATCAGGCGAATGTCTGGGGCCCTGACGCTTCTTTAAAAGAATATTTTTCTATTGAATGAGACCCAAAAAAGTTCCCGTTCAACAGGTACCGTCCAATCTACTCCAACTCGCCTTTGTAGGTAACATTATATTTCCATGTGGCACTTAACTTTATCATATAACAGCATAAAAGAGTTTTATGAGGTAGCTGTCAGTCAAAAGTAAAAAAAAATAAAAATAAAATACAAAAAATTTAAAATTAAAATATTATAATAATTATAAAAATATAAAAATAAATACCATTTTGAAAATTTGTTATCAAAGCTTGAGAATTTTTAAATTAGCAGTAGAGAAAATGTAAATTTAGTTGAAGATTGTTCATAAATCTACTTCATTAAAGGCCACGAAAACAAATTATTATACTTTGAATAGCTGATTTTTTCTCCATTTGTGAGAAGATTCAGTAAACTCTGCAAGCTACTTCATTGCGGAGTATAATGCAAACGAGAAATAGATGTACGAATTAGTGAACGTTAATAAAATGAACGCTTCTGACGTGAAGAAAGATTCAGTGAGGTAACAGTTAATTAGAGGAAATTACCAACAAGAATTTTATGGATAAAATACATGAAACTAACAAATTATTAAATAGAACACAATTTCACAGAACCGTTGCAATTTTTTTTAAATATATGAAAAGCATGTGCAATGAATTGGCTAAGCCAATCTGATAGAATTTTCCGGTGCTTAACTTTCCAAGAGTTCCAAGTAATTGAAAAAATTACTTTCTCTCACCTTTACTTTACATTAATCATGTGTAATAACTGCAAATGAATCACAATTTAGTATATTTCATGAACGTTTCCTTCATATTTTTTGAATGAAGGAAGATTCATCCGCTAATGAATAAATTTCTCGTAAAAATCCATTAATTTATCATTTGCCTCGTAGATTCACCGGTAAACCCCAAACTGAACGTGTGAGCAAAGCTTTTTATGTAAAGGGAGTTTCATTCAATAATAAACAAATCTATTATATTTAATTCGGTAATATTTCACTTGCCCAGTTATTATAGATGGTTAAAAATGTAAACAGATATGCTTCTAAAGCTTTTTATATCAAGTGAGTTTAATTCGATATTGAATAAATCTCTTGCAATTAATTTATTAACATCCTTCTTGGTGATTAATTAGCAGTAATCACCCACTATTGAGTAGTAATTACCTCAATTTACCCAGTATTGAGCAGTAATTACTCAGTATTGAGCAGTAATTACCCAATATTGAGCAGTAATCACCCAATATTTAACAGTAATTACCCAGTATTGACCAGTAATTACCTTGTATTGAGCAGTAATTACCCAGTATTGACAATAATTACCCTGTATTGAGCAGTAATTGCCCAGTATTTAGCAGTAATTACCCACTATTGAGCAGTAATTACCCGACTGAACATATATATATATTTATATACACGTGATTAATTAATTAATTAATTATACAATTAAATTCTGCCATCTAATACTAATATATTTATATACATTTCTATACATATGAGCAGACGTGCCCAAAACTGCCCCGGTAATAACGGGTCGCACGACGGGCTACACGCTCGGAGAAACCCTGCACCTCAACTGCTCTGCCCCACACGCCCACCCGCCCGTACAACTCCAGTGGAAGATCAACGGCGTGTTGGTGAGTCATGTCGTGTAATTCATGCTTGTTTTCAACACATTTCTTTGTGTTATGTTCAACTTTAACTCATATTGAAAGCTCAACAGCTTCATATCGAAGATCAACGGCGTGTTGGTGAGACATATCGTGTAATTCATGTCTGTTTTGTATACATTTCTGCGTGTTATACTCAAGTTTAGTTCATATCGTAAGATCAACGGCTTGTTGGGTAGCCTAAAAGTCAAGTAATTCGTATCTGTTTCCTCCGCATTACTTCGCATTTTCTTCAGCATTTTCTTGTGGCAATCACTTGAAATTTGCTTAGGATCTCTGCAAACACAACACTATGGGCACTGTCAGTAATTATTATAAGGATGAAACTGAGCCCACTTTTTTCAGACGATTTTTCCCTTTCTTTTATCCACTGAAATCAAGAGGTAGCGTGTGAATTTTTTTAAAGTTACTTATTTTTTCATTTTTTACGAAAGTGACTTTTTCTTAATTGTTCTCGGGTTACAATGGAATAGATCTAATATTGTTGGGAACCTGAGAAGAGTCTATTATGACCACCATAAATCTAATGTCAATATATTTTTATGAGAATCTGACTTTTGAGCCTCTTCGGGGAGAAGTTGGTCCCCGTCACAGTTTATTTGCGAGAACGGTAATTGTAAGTCAGTCGGCAATTTAGTTCATTTTCTATGCACTAAATTCAAACGTATAAACTAGAATCAATTGCTAAAAACTTGTGGTTCATTTTCGTTTCAAATCTATCGTTTCTATTGTAAGCCGGCGACATCAGACTTGCGGTGACTGATGTGACATGAACGTTTCAACGAATAGTAGACTTAAGTCATGTTGAAAAATTCTGAGCTTCAAAATACATAACTTCAACAAGCGTAATCAAGAATTGCCAGTGTGAATATTATTTAAGAATGAGAATCGCTTGGGTCCCCGAGTTTCATGATACCTCATTGATGAATCAGTTGCTGATGAGCGAGGCGCGTGTCTACCGCTGCTTCAAAATTTTGATCTTAATTTGTAGACGGTAGAAATGAAAAAGCCAGCTTACAGAAAATAGACAGCACAAAACTTATGATTAATGTACGAACTAAAATTATTTCAATGCAATGATTTCGAAAAAAATTTAATAGAAAAATTTAAATAAATTCTCAAATTTCATCGATTGGAAACTATAATATCGTTTAATCTTTCGTGTATACTACTTTCGTTGATTTTTATTTACTGTTCAAGCTATAGTTAGAATGTGCCCCGATATTTGAAAAGAACTTGAGCACAGCCAAAAGAAAGATAAAGAAAAGGACATGTGGCTTGTCATTCATCATTCAAACAACATGAGCGAGCCTGTGCTATTGAAATACGTATTGATTAATTAGGAAATAGTCACGTGTCTGAGGTAATAGTTTCAATATTCGGTAATGCCTTAAATTTTTTTGTACTCTTCATAATTTTAACCTTGAATATGTTAAACTTCTTATCCAAATTAATTCACTTGGGGCAGCATATTTCTCTACCGCATCTGTGCTCGTTGGTTTGTATATTTATGGAAGTTTACCATATTTTGTTATTTACAAGCGCGAGGATGTATAATTCAATTTATTGTTTACTTTTCCCCGCTTTTTGCTTCTCTAGTAGCGCAGTTCTACGATCATTTCAATTAACACAAGTCAGTATATTATGTTGCTTAGAAAACCATTCTATGAGACAAAATATTACTAGAATATATGTAAAGGGGAAATATGCGAGAACAAAAAGTATCCATTTTATCAAAAAGTACGGATGCACTGGAATGTTCCGGCCTCACATGGTTGTCGTACGTTTTGTATGAATCATATGTTCTGAAAAAATTCTTCACTTTTGAAGTGTAAACTAGTGCTAATCTGATGATAATTAATTGTTGGTTATCATTGCTGATTTATCTAACATAAGAGATATTTTGGCCCATAATGCCTTAGTTTCCTTGAATTCCTAGATGAATATATCAAGTGTAAACAAGAGGGAAATTTTGACCTGTAATGACTGAGTCTGTATGAATGAAAGTATGTTCAGTAAACCGAAGATATTTTGATCAATAATGTCTCAGTTTCAATTAATAAATGCAACCAGTGCAAACAAATGATATATGCAAAATCAGATCTACTGAAATTCGTCCATAAAAGCAACTTATTAATACAAGTGTGCAAGGGCTTAACTAACTTAACTTAAAAGGAACTTAAAATTGTTATCGAATTTATTCAAAGCTAATACATTGTGTTAATCACTCATAATTGTCCATGAGATAATATCCGTAACATATTATCGAATGAAATACAAATCACTTAAATGTCAATTTTATGGCAATAAATATCATCGATCGGTTATTTAGAACAATACAACAATATAATTTGCATAATATATGCAACGATGACTCATAATTGCTAAGTATAACTCTTTCTCCCATAAGTTCGTAAGACATATAATGGCTAATAAATTGAACATTATTTATTTGAGTGTTTTTATCTAAATTAATCCTTTACATGTGCAGGCCTCTGACAGCTACATCATTAAATACGAAGGCAAACAAGACAAACTCGGTAGAGTCTCGACCAAGTCAGGTGAGATCTCGAGCTCGTTCTCTCGACCTGCCTCATTGCTCTGCAGAGTCTCGACCAAGTCAGGTGAGGTCTCGAGCTCGTTCTCTCGAACTGCCTCATTGCTCTGCAGAGTCTCTGTAGGTGCTCAAAAGAACAGGGATTCCTGTAGGTCCCTTGGCATTTGCCGTTAAGCTCGACCTAGTCTCAGGTAAAGGTAAGACAGTAGTGATACCTGTGCTTAATTATTATTGAACAATGACGAAGTTAGGAACAGACGATCTCTGATACAGAATTGAATTTGGGTCTAAAGACTAATCTAGCTGGCGATTTCACAACATAGAAATTTCGTGATGATGAACTATCTTCAAAAACCATGTGTCTCAAGAGGATAGACTGAACAGGATTTCTCTGCTCTCGTCCATAGCATGCACGACCAAGGCACATACTCTTGAACTGATTCATTCTAAAAATGAGTGTCATATTCATATTCCTGCTGATCTTAACGTGATGAGTCCAACAAGACTAAAATTAAGTTCATCATTTAGCTTAACGGCAATAAAATTTGTAAGCAACGACTTAGAAAACGTATCCAAGGATTAAATACTTACCGTAATCTTTTACGATTGACTGTAACATTTGACCAGGTTTAAGGTTCCGCCTTGACCGCGACTACTTCGTGCACACGGGCGCACTGCGCGTCCACTGCACAGCGCAGTCTGCGGGCGAGCGCGGCCTGTCCTCCGAGGTGACCATCCTGGAGAGCGAGATACGCAGGCCGCGGCCACAGAGAAATACGGCCAAAAATACGGCCGTGCAGTGCCGTGTCGGTGGGTGTTTCTTTATGTTAGAGTTTGAATTTTATTATCTCCCTCTACGGCCAAAATACGGCCAAAAATAATTCCGTGCACTGCCGTGCTGGTGGATGTTTCTTTATGTTAGAGTTTGATTTTTATGATCTCCCCTATGATTATGATCTCCCCCCAAAAATACGGCCGTGCACTGCTGCGCAGTTCCTTTTTATGTTAGAGTTAGATTTTTATGAATATTTAGTTCTCTATATTGGGTTTAGAGATGAATTTCTTTCAATTGGTTCAGGGAATATGAGAAGTCCTATCACACTTCTCAGCTGTTCAGTAATCGATCAATATTGTCTGGGGTGATTTTTTTAACTTTAGTTTTTATTATTTCTCCTTACCAACGATGAAACGTTTAAACATAAGAATTTTTTAACTGACGTTCTCGAGGTTTAGCAATGATTTTATTCTACTGAAAGTATTTGATTGTTTTTTACATTAAAATGAACGCCAAAAAAAATAAAATTTAACAGTTTAACGCTCACACGATAGTTTATAACTTTTGAGTTGGATTTACTTACCTCAGTTGTAGCTTATGTGTGCGTATATTTGAGGACGGGTCTTCGTAAAGAATATTTGGGAAAGTTTTTTTTGAGCTTGTGGACATCGAAACTTCTTCAAAAATAGAAAAATCTCATTTATCTTGCAATTCTTTTGAAATTACACGGTGCTGCACGTTATGCAGCATGACTTCTACGCCATGTTACATCACGCTGCAGGAAAATGTCTTTGAAAATAATATTATTTCTCAACATTAAAATTTATCGTTGCGCAAACGCATCGCTTAAAGTGTACGTAAATTGAAGACTAATTAATATTTTATTATTTCAGGTATCGTTGGACTCGCGGCAGCTGCAATGTCGTGGCTGGTGTAAAAAACCTGGACCAGCCTGCATCTCTACTGTTAATTAATTACAGCCTAATTGAACATGTACCATCGCAGCAATTTTCATCGTCGCATACTAATTAATTGCGCAAAACAAACGCTTTCATTAGTCGGTTGAAAAATATTCATTTAATTTCTTTGCTTACCAATTAATAATTTAGAAGTAAAGAATGTGCAGCGTAGATTCAATATAATTTTTGGAACGTTTCGAAGACCAGTTGCATCGTTCTAAAGTTTTGAAATCATGGAGCTGGCCTCCGAAACGTCTTCAATAACTTGGCGTTCTCTTAGCTTTTTAGTTCTTGGTTAAATAATTATTATTATATCCAGCAATTATTTCTCTACCTAACCCAAGTAACTGTTATATTTTATTCTCTAAAACAGTTATTTGAACAAAAAATTGCAAAGGAACGTCGCTAAAAAATGCATTCCTTCTTCAATAAGAAGCTGATCCTGAATATTTTACAAGTTTTTATTCATTTCTTATTAACATGGAAGCGTAACTTTCGAAAACCGGGATCATTTTTATCAATTAAATAATTATTGTTAACTAAGCGAAACAAATGAGATAGGGATTCATGTATTTCCAAAATTGAATATCAATAAGGATTATGATACTATGAAATAATGAAATTACCTGGAATATAACCAAGTTATATTAGGCCTTAGCCCAGTGGGTTAAAGTTATTAGAATTATTCATAATAAATTCCTACTATCGAACAAATGTATTCGTAATTCATATCTTGATGAAGATTTGCTGCATTTACTTAAGAGTTTAATAACTAGCCATAGAATTATAAGCTGTCCATTTAAATTGTGTTAATCATAAAGTGTAGTATATTAATACAGCATGGGCCACACTGAGATGAGTTATACAACTACACTGAGATGAGTTACAGCTACACTGAGATGAGTTACAGCTACACTGAGATGAGTTACAGCTACACTGAGATGAGTTACAGCTACACTGAGGCTGTCTCTTATACACATCTAGATGTGTATAAGAGACAGCAGCTACACTGAGGAGAGTTACAGCTACACTGAGATGAGTTACAGCTACACTGAGATGAGTTACAGCTACACTGAGATGAGTTACAGCTACACTGAGATGAGTTACAGCTACACTGAGAGGAGTTACAGCTACACTGAGATGAGTTATAGCCAAATGATCAAATTCTTATGTAATTAAGCCATTCCTTAACACTTGTTGATATAACTTTGAATATTAGTATTAAAGCAAGCTAATCTGCAAATTGTACTATTTAAGATACAGCCTGAATAGTTTTACACTGTATACAATCTGCCTATAGCGACTGGTCTTCATCTATTTTGTTCACAAACTATCTTCTTTGCTATCAAGTTCAATGTTTTCCAACACTTGACCATGTAACATTAATGCCTTTTCCATGTAATTATGCTAGAAGAACCATAATAATAATTTTAATAACCAGTGGATCTTTATGAACATTTATAAATACAATTTGAAATCTTATGCTATCCTAGGTGGATTGATTACTTTACAGTGCATGTCTTTGTTATGCGTGAGGTAGAGAACATGTCATTAACATGTATTAGATAGCAGACATGTTATTAACGTGCATAAGTGTCTGTATTATGAGAATATGCTAGACGTGTTATTGTACATCGATTTACCGTTATCCAACATTTGCAACTTTACCCTTCACCAATAACTTCTATTTTTTGTATTTTGGAATACTAGTTTGTATACGATGATTGGCATTTTACCTCGTATTCTAGAATTTTTATTAAACTTTCATCAAGATAAGATGTCTCCAACATTCCTGTTCATGCCACTAATCAAGTTTGCATGCAGTTTCAAAATTTTAATGTTTAATGTTGTCTCTGCCATTCCAACGCTAAAAACTATGGATGTCTCATTTCGCTGGTACATAAAATTGTTGGTTTCCTGTCATTTTATTACACCTTTTGTAATAGTTTTTCATTGCCGTGCTGGATAGTACGCAATATCCGAAGTAAATTACCAGGACCTGCCAGGCTATATAGCAATACTGTGACAGGAGCAAAACACGGCTGACAGCAAAGATTCTCTCGCTGAGAGAACAGTAATGGCTGCTGTCAGACAGAAGGCTCGGCTGACAGCAAAGGGAGAGAGAGAGACAGGAAGCCAGCGATGTGGCCGGGCCGGGTCATTGTTTCTTGTCTTGCCAGGTGGGCGGGAAATTGGAAGCTGTAATTGAGATACAACTCATTTATTTCAAATCAGGGAAAGAAAATTCTATTATACATTATTTGATGATGTACGGACATCAATATTTTTTAAGCGCTGGTGGCCAAGCATCTTTCCCTTACATCCAACTAGGTCACGAACTCACGATTTCTTAACCCTCTACCGCCTGACACGAGTAACCGGAGCAATATTGTCACGCGCCTACTTCCCAAAAAGGGTACGTTCTAGTGAGCGCAAAATGACTTGCACTGATGGTTGCCGCCACGTACGACAACTTTAAAATGTTCTCTGTTGCGCACAAACGTCCTCAGGTTGCTACACTCAATAGTTTACGCATAATTTAAGTTGAAAGTTATGTTCCAGCGAGTGACATACGGCGGTAGATGGTTAAGGCTTCACCAGCAGCAATGAACAAAATTGTGAACTGAGTCCTTGTAAACACTGAAACAGCATCGTAAAAATCCTTAATTTTTATTGAACGCACACAAAATAAAATGTTTAACTTTATGGAGACATTTACAGCATTTTTTTTTAATAAACTCGTTTATCCGCTTTTTTCTTTTAGCTTCGCATAATCCGCTGTAATGTAAATCATTCATGAAAGACGGCTATAGCCGAACTCCTTTCAACATATTTTTCGTTTATTGAGTTTCAATTGCAAATGAGCTGCATCTATTTCATATATAAGCCCAATTTTAATTAAACAAATTGATTTGCACGTTAGAAAAAGCAAGCTGCGCTTTGGTTATCAGTGCAAATCCGTCAATTCATCAGTTCAAAGCCGAAGTAACCAATACTAGAAATAACAAATGCTTTGAAAATGCACACTTTATAAAATTCATAAAACGACGTCATGGAACTCCATCAATCATTTGTTTTTATAATGAATTGTCAATAATTTTTTTTCGCTACAAAGAAGATTACAGCTCATCGCTCACGAAGATTGGCAATATAGCGCGTAGAGTTTTTACAAACGTCGCAGCCGGTGTATCAGCGTTGGTCAATCCTATCTGCCGTCGGAATTTTTTCGAGTCTCTTCAAAAATTAGAGAAACATTTTTTCTCGTTGCAGAAAAAAAGAAAGTTGCTCAGCGACTAGATTGAGAGTTGAGAAAAAAAAGTTCCAATCTCATCGTGAGTTTTTCTGTTGATGCAGTTTGAAAAGAGACTTTCGTTCTCTTCTGTTTTTAGTGTGAATGTTTGTTTGAAAAGAGGCTAACACTAACCAGTAGTTAGAGTTAGTGGCAAAGAAGGGAAGCTCTTGGCATATCATTGAGAGAAGTAAGTTAATTAGTGAGAAGTAAATTCCTTATGAGCGTCCCTAAAATTTCCCTTCGTAAAATTCGTGTCACTTGCTTTTCTTTTTAACTTGAATATAAAGAAATTTATTGTACTTAATTGTTTAGACAATTTCATGTCTTGTAGAACCCGTGCAAATCTATAGCCTAGAGAGTCCAACCAATATGATAATGATTAGTATAACTGATAACGGTTAACGTAACCGATAATGGCTTGCGTGACAGATTATGGTCATCGTGACCAATGACGGTTAGCGTAACCGATAATGGTTAGCGTAACTGATAATGGTTAGCGTAACTGATAATGGTTAGCGTAACTGATAATGGTTAGCGTAACCGATAATAGTTAGCGTAACTGATAATAGTTAGCGTAACCGATAATAGTTAGCGTAACCGATAACGGTTAGCGTAACCGTCCATCGCATGCCAAACACGTCGATACGTCGATAACGGTTAGTGTAACCATTCGACGCACGGCTTGCACGTCGGCATGTCGATAACGGTTAGCGTAACCGTTAGTCGCGCGGATCGTTAGAGCAGCAAAAGGCCTCACCTAACAGCCGCTATTATCGGCTGCAACTTTCATTTGGTTAAAGGCACAGATTTTTGCTCAGCCCAGTTACCTGCTTCGTATGTAATCTCTTTCTGATCTTTGCCTCAATATTTTACTGGCATTACATTTATTTTGTCTCAGTTAGTCTCATTAAATTTATTAATTTAAATTTATTATTTATTTATTAATGCATTTATGCACCCATAGATGGTCGTTCATGTCTAAACTTCGATGAAATACTTTAAGTTCACAAGAATTTCTATGAAACTTCGCTTTGCTCTATTTAATATACAACTAAATTATTTTTCAGCAGATTCATAGTAGGGCTGTTTCACGCACGTCATTGCAAGGCACAGAAAATTTGCTTCTATATTTTCGTTCTCCGTATCTTTGCGAAATTTTATAGACCACTTCATTCATAAAATCAGTTTGGACTGAATCAGTTTGGCGTAAATAGCGCAGTGATCCTTGCGAACGATTGCCCTGCAGCGAACGTTTACCTGTTGGATTGGACCGGCAACAGAGCGGGTTCGGTGGATTGTTTCGATTGTTCCGGCAACACAGTGGATTGTTTCGATTGCACCTGCAACTCAGTGGATTGTTTCGATTGCACCGACAACACAGTGGATTGTTTCGATTGCTCCGACAACACAGTGGATTGTTTCGGTTGCTCCGGCAACACAGTGGATTGTTTCGATTGCTCCGACAACACAGTGGATTGTTTCGATTGCACCAGCAACTCAGTGGATCGTTTCGATTGCACCGACAACTCAGTGGGTTGTTTCCATTGTTCCGGTAACACAGTGGATTGTTTCCATTGTTCCAGCATCACAGTGGATTGTTTCCATTGCTTTGGCAACACAGTGGATTGTTTCCAGTGCTCCGGCACCAAAGTGGATTGTTTTGATTGCTCCAGCAACAGTTACAGTGGTTCCAGGAATCGTTGTAGCTAGAAATTACTTCATAAACTTCATGTTTTTTGCGCGATTTCGGGCTAGTTTTTTTCATGCATCGAACGATTCTGAAAAAAATATTACTCAGTACTCACTGCAGTTAGTAACAGAGAGCGC